ACTTTCACATTTTCGTTGATGTTTGTAACTCAATTTAACAGGTCTTAAAAGTTGTGGTCATATTTTGTTTGATGGCTCGCTGTTGTGAAGCAAATTTAGATCAGAGCATCGAGCTCCATCGCAATCCAAGGAGAAAGAAATTGCCAGCCGAAGTTGGTGAAGAGGTGACATGGTAATAAGTAACATTTCAACTTTACAATATTTCAACTTTACAACACTTTACAACAAAATGTCTCGGCGCATCAGTTTATTGAGTAAAGCATAATATATCAGACTATTGGTTGATTATCCCTATGCTTCTCACTTTACTGTATCTCAATCCAAACATTTTTCATATGCCCGCAAACAATTTTTGAACATACCACTTGCGACTGTTCAAAGGTAGAACAACCTAATGATGTAACACAGCTTTTTGAAAAACTGTCGACCGAGGTTGGTGAGAGGCGTGCAAGTGATATCCAGAAGTCGATTGCTGCCGCAGCCAGCCGCCGGAGCTGTCGACATTGTCACTGCTGATAATGCAGTAACTACGCTCATCATCTAAACTCTTGCCGAGAGGTTTCCTTGCACCTCGTCGAACTGAGTTGCGATATCAGCTTCAGGGATAGTATGATATCCTCGATATCTTTATCATTTTGACCAGAAATTTTTTTTGATTTTTTGAACCATGCAATCGAATACAAAAGTATACATGAAAGTTTCCAAAAGATTGTAAAAGCCTGTACACTTTTCTATGGTTCAGAATTTGAAAAGCTTCCGATTCTGAAATGTTTATGGAAGAGTGAGTTTGACCGAAATGGTTTCGCTGAAGCGATTATTGAGGGCGATTATTGGGTTCTTTTCAGTTTTGGACCATTTTTTGCAACGAGTTCTGAGTTTGGAATTTTTCTCTTATTATTTTTTCATATTCTTAAAACATCTGGAGAATGAATTTTCCACGTAAGTGAACCTGAGGCTCTTGAACAACTGTATAGAATAGTAAAAGACTTTGATTTCTTGGTGATGTATGGTGTTTTTTTATATCCCACTAGTTGACTTACCCGGCTCCGCTCGGCCCTGTCATTACTATATTCGTAATCAGCATGCTCGATTACCCCCGTGCCAACTCCAAGCCCCGTAGCTCAAATTTTGCAAAAAATCGATAAAATCGATATCGATCGATACGAAAAGTAGCCTATGACACCCGGCGGGGCCCGAAGTGTATGTGTGCCAAGTTTGGTCCAGATCGGTTTAGAAATGGAATTTTCTATTCGGAACATACGTACAGACATACATACATACAAACAGATATACAGACATACAAACAGACATTCAGGTTTATATATAAGATATGTGGCTTTCATCTTTTATCATTGACCAACCACTAGCTTTTTTAGCTCGCTTAACATCGCTAGATAATGAAATCAAGTTATAATAGACTAATCTTACTGTTATATCCGCAGTATTTTGCTGTATTATAAATGTCTTTGTCCGTTATTCGACGCTCAAAACCAAAAAATTTTCAGAAAGTAAAGATTTCCTGAATTTTTCAGTTTCTAGTAATTTTGAGTAGTCAAAGCGATTTGATTTTACGACCAATTCCTTTGGAAAAACTCTTCTCTGTATAGCTTAATAATCTGCATGGTTTTCAAGTCTAAATTTTTTGCCGTTTTAAAATAATCTAGATATCGAGCATATCATGCTTGCGAGGAAACCTCTCCGCAAGAGTTTCAGATGACGAGCGTAGTTACTATACCATTTGCAGCATCTTTGCAGGCAGCTCCAGCGGCTGGCTGCGGCAGCAGTCGGCTGCCCGAGTACCACTTGCTACGCACTCAAGGTTGGTAGCAAGATTTTATTGAAGGATAAGCCAGCGTTTCGGCGGTCCGATGATGATGTACTACGACGTAGATGACGTAGACCTAATATTGTCTTTCATAGCAAATTGTAAACGCCGTCCCAAAAAGTGTCGTCTGAAATATCAAATTTATTTATAGTGTTATCATTAAGAAAATCAGTCGCTTAGCGCTGTGATTGCGCTAAGCGCATAAATCTTTATGTGGGTTTCCCTGGATACGGTTTAAATTTTTTTCAGAATAACAGCTGCCATGGGCCATTTTCAAATTCCATGCGTGACTTACAGTGTTTTGTACTATGAATTTTTTCTTACGTCTCTCTCATTTCGTAGTATTAGGTCGTTCCGAAAGTAATGTCGCTTTTTTCAAACGTATGCCACATCTCGTGGAATGATGTGTAAGAGATTCTAATAGCATTTGATGCAGCATTTTATTCTCTTTCTGATGGTTATGAAGTTGTTGCAATACATTCAATGAGCTTCCAGAAAAGAGTCAAAATCTGCGACCTATGCTTTTTGAGATGTCCAAGTTTCACAATTTTTCTAAAATTTTAGAACAAACCTCAGAAGGTGTCCAAGTAATGGATGGATAGAGCAAACCCTACGGGAAACAGCATAACTTTTTTCTACTTTTCAGAGCTCGTCATAATTGTTGTACGGATTTTTTGGTGGAACCACCGAATTTTAGCAGGCTCGTCTCAGGCACAAGTGCATCAAAGGCCAACAAGTCTTCGGATTTTGAAACTTACAAAGATGGATTATGGTTTGGCAACAATTTTACAAACCAAACGAGCATTCACCGCTTCGGTTTAGCAACTTTCGAAAATTTCGGGTACACCTTGGGGGTGCCTTGGAAAAGTTGAATCATGATGATTTTATCCAGGAAAACTTGATGAATCGAAACAAAAAAAAACAACCGCTAAAAAGAGGAGAAAAAGCTGCATCGAATGACACCCGAGTCGCTTGCCCGGTTGTTGTTCTGTGAGGTTTGACTTGACTAAATATGAAACTTGATGGCATTGAGAAATTGATTGTAGAAACTCTGAGAAGCAAGCTAAGGAAAAGAAAAAATTGCTCTGTGTTCTATAGTGTTTGCTCTATCTACCTGCCACTTGTACTTTTTCGGAGATTAGGTACAAAATTTGAGAAAAATAGCCGAACTTGACCATGGCAAAAAGCATGAGTCGCAGATTTTGGTGATTTTTCGAGAGCTCATTAAACATTATGCAATGCAATTAAAACCATTAGAAAGAGGATGAAATGCTGCATCGAATGCTCCTAAAATGTTTTAAAAATGTTGATTCCACGAATAGTGGAGTTCATTCGAAAAAAGCGACATTACTTTCGGAACGACCTAATATATTACAAAGTGCTCCTTTCAATTGCAAAGAGAATTTGGGGGGGGGGGGGCGAAGTTTCTCACCCGAGCCATATTCTCGCACCAGTGGCGTACCGAGGGGGGGGGGCGGGCGGGGGGGGGGGGCGCCCCCCCCCCCCGAGAACGGGTCGCGAAATTCTTGAAAGTTACTTACATGAGTTATAAAAATGTGCAAGTGACTTGTTTATTTTTGTAAACAATTAAAATAATTTTTAAAATTTTTTAAAAATTTGAATTAGCCCTATAAAAAAATTTTTTTCGGGGCCGCAAAAATTTCGAGAAGCCCCCCTAAAATTTTTTCGGAGTGCGTGGCTGACGCCACGCACCTTCATTTGAAAAAATTTTTTGCCGCCCCCCCCCCCCCCCCGAGCCGAAATCCTGGGTACGCCACTGTCTCGCACCTAAGTGATGTGCCTGCCAGGCACATCCGGGCTCGCTACAATTACGAGCTCCTCAGGAGACCAAGACATCGCAAGCCCCGCCCCCTTTTCCAGTGCCGCTTCAGGTGCTGAGACCGGAAGCTCAGAGAGAATTTCAAAAATAGAGTTCAATGGTAAATTTGTTCCAATCAAGACCAAATTTCGGATTGGGGTTTTCGAAGTTGCTCTTTCTTTACAGTAGTGAAATTTGTTTGTTGCAAAGTCAACGGTCAGTACCGCTAACGCTTGAAAAAGATCAAAATTTGGATTTAAAAGTTTTATATTTCCTTTTCAAATCAAGACCAGAATTCAGATTTAAGGGTTCTCGAAATTGCTTCTTCCATAACGAATATGTTCTGTGCAGTATCAAGAGCTATTTGATTCTTTGAACAATTTTGGAGACAAAAATGTTTCTCTCACAGGAACCGAATTAGTTCCATAGAATCGAAACGCCAGATGCAGGAATACGTATGTGATTCCGTAGTGTTTTCTCTCCCTGATTTCAGTTTCAAGAACATGTCAAGGTACAGGTAACTCGGGTTACTTTGAAATTTCAGAAACTTTGGTTATAGTTAAATTTAACTTACTCCAGATACATATAATTTTCACACCCGTGCCAATTTGAAAATTGCTTCAATCTAATTTGATTCAATTATATTCTGGTATTCAGGACCAAATTTCACACAAATTGCTACAGAAGTTTTTTAAATAGTCCATTCATAAATTTTCGAAAACCCGTAAATCTAAACTTTGGTCCTGATTTGGTGAAGGGAACTTTGAAAACCTTTAAATCCGAATTTTGATCTTGTTCAAGCATTAGCGGTACTGAACGTTGGCTTTTCAACAAACAAGTACCAATACTGAAAAGAGCAACTTCGAAAACCCCTAAATCCGAAATTTGGTCTTAATTGGAACAAATTCACTCCTGAACTTCGATTTTGGAAGTTTCGTTGAAATTCCGGTTTCAGCATCTGGAGCGGCACTGGCGAGGGGTGGGGCTTGCGAAGTCTTGGTCTTCTGAGGAGCTCGTAATTGTAGCGAGCTCGTATGTGCCTGGCAGGCACATCACCAGGGTAAAGCGGGGGGTGCGGCACATAACCGTCGGATACGACCCCCCCCCACGACCCCCCCCCTTGGGCCGGACCTCGGCACGACCCCCCCCCCCCCATCCATTCTCCTCCCCCCACCCCCAGAATGTTCAATGTAGAAGTGAAACCTGGTCCTGCAACTCACAGGGGCTTCCTCTTCAGGCGAGGGGGGGGGGGGGAGGAAGTCCCAATCTTTCTCTGCAGTTATGAGCAACACATTTGTGAACGAAATGGAACTGATCCTGGAAAAAAGTGAAAAACCTTAGGTTAAGCGCTACAGTTTAGACGCAACAAACCTGTGTTTGCACCATGCTTGCTCTCTGTTTCCTCAAACTCATGACGAGCTCGAATATGTCCAAGGAATCCAATTCCTCAGACTCAATTAGTTCCCTTATATAATTGACTGATATGATTGTTCCAGTACGTCCCACGCCAGCGCTAGAAAGTCAAAATGGCAAGGAAAGATAAGTAAGGAAACCTCACCTGCAGTGAACAAGAACAGGGGCTGTTGAGTTCTTATTGTATTCAGCCATTTTCTCGATTATGTTGATTAGCTGATTTTCGCCGGATGGACAACCGTGATCAGGCCATTCTCTCGAAACGTAGTGGGCACATTACGAAAAAATGAAACAATGATGAAGCAGAATCACCTGTAGTGCAGTTGCGTGATCGACCTTGATTCGCCTGTTTTCGAATGGGTCATTTTCAGCCGTCTCATAAGGTATTCATCGTCAGTGAAACTGAATAAGTCGTTTTTAGTAGCTGTGCTGCCACTGTGTGGACACGGGTAATGTTCATTGTTATTCAGTGGTCATCAGACTATCCTTTGGTCAAAATAGATGTTCAACAAGAAAGTGAAGTAAATCGATGATAGTAGCACGGTGCATGTTCATTGATGTTTTAAAATGAATTTGCTCAAACCCACTTCTAAACAATAAGAGACCCGAATGGCAGCTTCGGACAGACTTCACGCGATTTGATCGTCGCGCTTTAGTCGCCGTGATTTCCATTCATTTTCATTTTACATTCAAGAAAAGCTGGAAAAGATCACAACCGAATGCAAGTTGATCGGCATGGAATGATGTTGTGACAGTTGTCTTATCGCGATTCAGTCGCGACGATCAAATCGCGTGAAGTCTGCCCGGGAAGACTGCAATCTCAAAAAAAAAACTGATCAACTGATTCATAACTTATGACAAAACCCCAAGTGCACTTGCGCAAAGTTTGGCTTGCCATCCTTCAGATAGAACCGCAGGCGCATGGCAGCAGAATCATTTTTGGAAAACATTTGATCTCAGAAAATCAGAGGAAATAGAGTTGAAAAAGATCAAGATCCAAAGAAACAAGTCTCCAATGAATATGCTAGCACGTTCGTTCAAAAACAAAAACAACAACAACAATATACCACCTATAAAAAATACTCATTCATACCTTTCCTCCGATTCCAGCGTGATCTCGTAAGCACCGAAAAGAAGACTTTGTTCAACTTCGGATGGCCAGTAACGTTTACACTTCACCTTAAGCAGATTGTTTATGCAAGCAGAGACACGGTTAAGTAGACATACCTTGCTCATTTCCACCAATTTACATAACACAATTAGTACAACTTTCTGTTCATCAGTCATCTTCCACCTGAAAAAAGCTGAGTGTTTCTCCGTCAAATTAAGCAATGTGTAAAACCGTCGTAGCAGACAGAAAGAAAATTGCGCAGACCATTCTTCGAGCGTAGAAGCGAGTGGTGCCTGAGCAGCATTGAAGTGCATGCGACCTTTTGGAAGTTGGATGAAAGACGCATTTATATAACCATTTGGGCTATCGTCGGTCTTGGAAAGAACGACACGGTTACGATCATCTAAAATAGCCTAAATTATGAAAAACCAACTAATATCTACACAAGTGCTGAGAGCGCAGACGTCTGAAAAGAACTCAGCGAGCTTCATCCGTCTACCAATGATGACAAAGGGCTGCGCAGACTGGGCAAACACTTATGGCATCAATAACGGCATAATCTACTGATCATAATTCTAACAGAATGATTTACGCAAAATCCATTAAATCTTATTACAGGGGAAACATGCGAAACATGAGACTTTCTGCTCCAGCAATTCAAGTACAGTATGAGATCAGTCGATAAAGATCACAAACAGCTATTTGTATCACTTTAATTTCAACAACAAATACAAGAAAAGTGTCCGGTGAAATCAGTTAGAAAACCCTAAGTTTTGCTAGACATTCAACTCTGTGTCTCTCACACAACAAGAAGGCCCTGGCCAGACTTCGCTCAAAAGCGCCCAAAAGCGCTCAAAAGCGCCCAAAAGCGCCCAAAAGCGCTCAAAAGCGCGCAAAAGCGCCCAAATTTCTTTGGTGTCTCTTCACTTTCTCGTGTGAGGAGAGATGAAAGAGAGTGAGGAGAGGTTAGAGAAGTTTGGGCGCTTTTGCGCGCTTTTAAGCGCTTTTGGGCGCTTTTGAGCGCTTCTGGGCGCTTTTGAGCGAAGTCTGGCCATGGCCGAAGGATTCAGACGTCTACATATCAAACGCGTGAATCTAACATTATTCGCTTCGCTTTCTATATTGAAAAAGTTATAAGCCGGTTCAAGAGACAAAAATGCAAAGGATGCAACAGAAACGAAAATGAAAAAAACGAACACGAAAAACAACGGGAATGAGATATCGAGAAAAGAGTACGAAAGCGAAATAGCGAAGAGCGAATTCGAGAGAAAAAAAAAGAGAGAATATGAGATGAAAGAGAGGGAGAAAAATAGAGAAAAAAGCGAGAACATTCAACCGAAAATGAGATTTTAGCAAGCGGATTTCAAAACCTCGTGGCTCGCGCCCTTGGTGTGTCCGCACTTTTCGAACCCTACCGTACCCCAATATTTTTGACGCTTTTCAAAGCCGTGCCTTCAGCGGATAGGGTTCAGAAAATCCGCTGTATCTTTTCTTAGAGGACGCGCTTGGGGGGGGGGCAAATGCTAGTGTGAAGAGGGGATTGATGGCTCAGTAGAATAGTACAAAAAAGGCTTTCATTTGAGCCTTTTGAAGGTAAGTTAATGGGGTGCGGCACCCCCCCCCTCTTAAAAGCTGCTTCCGCAGCCGCAGCTTTTGAGGGGGGGGGGGGGTGCCGCACCCCATTAACTGTATCAAAATGACATTTTTAGTAAACATTATTTATATGAATCGATAGCCTAAACCTCGTAGATTTCGGAGTGATTTGAGCCTGATTCGTCTTCTTAGCTCTGAGTAATAGTTAGGGAAAGCACAGCCTTTGAAATTTGTAGGTGGGACTTCGCAGCTTCTGATTCCACAGCTTGAAGGTTTCTTAGTGTGGAATTTCTCAAGCGAGGAAGGGAGGGGTAGTGCTTTGTATTGAGTGCAAGAAGAGGTATCTTACTCACCTGTAAAATGGAGTTAATCATGTTTGAAATTACTGCTTCATACAAGCTCGTTTACTACTCGGACACCTCAGAGTTCGCTGAAACTTGGCGCATAGGGGTTATCCGACATGCTAATTACAATAATGATACTTGTTTAGCGTGATAGGGCCTATTTTCAGGTATACCGTAGGTGCACGGTATTGAAAAGTCGGTGTCATTGATTGTGTTTGGATTTTGCAGAATGCATTGCATCATAAAGAATCAGTTATTAGAATTAGTCTAGAGACTATCTACGAACTATCTAACAGCTATTGGAGTTGGTTAACTAACACCTTTTGAGGTGTGCCTCCTTCAAATCACCTAGTCAGTCAGCTTTCCGCGTTTGACCTTAGGTCAATACGACCCCTCCCCCTTACCTACCCCCCACCCTTACGACCCCCTGGTGTGGCGTGCCGCACCCCCCGCTTTACCCTGCACATCACTTAGGTGCGAAAATATAGCTCGGGTGAGAAACTTCCTGCACCCAGAAAATTTAGAGAGCTACAAGAGTATTTCACTTATTGTATCAAGTTGCTGCAAAAAGAACACTAGTGACAACATTATCATCGCGATAGTGCTCACAAACAGTTTTCCGAAGACTGAGTTCTTGGCTTGAGCTCGTAATGACCAAAAATTGTGTTCCTCTAGGAAATGAGCAAGGATCTAGTTAGTTGTAATCGATTAGGCGATTTATTAAACACGTAAATGCAGTCAACAAATTCTAAGGATCGTGAGCTGATGCTGCATATAAATGTGCGTGGTCACAAATTGAGTCTCTTTCTATCAGAGGTATGCAGTGTTCAGTTATTTAGTGCTTTGCTTCTCATATCTATTAGATCATTGCATGTATTGCCATATCTGACAGTCCGTACTTTTCTGGTAAGTCAAACCAGTAAGGAATGCATTGAGTTAGTGTGGCCATTTGAGATAAGGTATTTGTTAGTCCAAAATGAATGCTAATCTCAAAAGCGCAGTTTTTATTTACGAAACGCTTTTTTGCAACATTTACAAGTCTAACCATGCAAATGTTTTTTTTTGGTATAAAGGGCTCCGGGTCAGGAGTCACACCGCGCGCGGCTGTCGCTTGCGGCGCCCAGATTTTGTTCCTCATAAAAGCTCCCCGGTGCTAAAGTGGCAGGCGCCACAGTAGGGGGAGGGTGGCGGCAGATACATGATTTGAAGCCATAAGTAACATGGCGGCAGGAGTACTGACCGGAGCCGAGGACTACACTGCTTGACTTCGCGTTGCGGCGTCGCTTCGCGAAAAATCGTGACTCCTGGCCCGTACCCGGTTTAAAGCAGTACAGTACGTGCTATCGTAATGAGATGGTGCAGTGTAAGTACGGTTGTTCATTTTGCACTAAATTTGCATGTTAGAGTCCTTCCACAGGTACTTTTCTGCATGTTTCTTGTTTCTGACGCCACAGCTTTCTTCAAAAGAAAAAAAGCGTTCTGCAGTCAAAAATTGCAGTTTGAGATCAGCATTTATTACCAACAGCAATATCTCTCGAATAGCCACAATGAATTTGAGGGCATCCCTCGTAAGCTGTAAAGTCATGCCTCTCTAGAAAATCGCATTTTCATCTTTAAAACTAATCGAAGGGTTGTGATGATTTGTGTAGGCTCAGCCTAATCGGAGCTCAACGTTTGCAACTTTACCTGATTTGAAAGTGCAATGGAATTGGCCTTACATGGGTCAGCACTCTATCTGCTAAAAGGCTTTTTCGCTTTATTTTTAGACTGTTTACGTTTTCAGAATAGGACAGAAATTCGATTCTTTCTTTTATAATTTCTGAAACTACCATCTTTCTGGCATTCAATGAGCTCAAAATTTTTCAGCCGCAACAGCAGGTTATGGAACAACAATATGATAGTTCGAATTTCTCGCATCAAACACACCATAGACAAAACATACTTCACGCCCAACTATTTTGATAGAAAGAAACACGAACTGGACCTGTAGCTCTTGCGCAACTAACATGTGTCTGCTGTTTGTCGGTACGATGTTAATGTAGTCGCGAAGACGGCAGTTTTCCACGAGATTCAAAGAAATTTTTTGAAAGAAATAACTTGAGCGTCAAAATCCAGCCTCTGAACTGTATAACCGCACAATCATCGCTATCAAAGAGACTTCCCTTCTCCTGTATAATACGATGTCCCTCTTTGACCACCAGTAAATCGCTTACGGTTCTCTCGAAAGCACCAACTAACTTGATTACAGCACTTCATTATACTACATATTTTCTGAAAGTAAAGACTTGGAAAGCAAAATGTTCAGGCAGCATGTACGATAATTAAGATGATTTTGAGGAAAACATGAGGCCTTAATTCCAAGCCGACAGTTGCTGCTAGGATGCGTCAAACGTCGACGGAGGGATCTAAGACATTGGACAGCAAGGCGGCGACGCCAGTATTTGCTTCTGTTCGCACTGAGCACGGAAACCTTACATTTTTTGTCAGCCGACAATGCATCCATCTGCCTTCTTCTCAAAGAATATTCAGGCAGTAGCTTAAAATAATGCTTTATTCCTGATTGTCTTCATGAGCCACCAAATAAACCGAATAAACATTCGTTGATATTGGAAAGAAAATGCACAATATGTAACAGCAGCACGCTCCATTGTTACAAACTCTATAGTTTTTATGTAGCAAACGAGATGGTACTATAAAGATGTAGTTACATTGGAATTACTTCTAAAAATGGAAAAAGCTGAGTGATACATTGTAATCAAGCAAGTCGTGACCTCCCCAAACTTCAAGCCATTTTGCAGGTCTGTAGCTAATTATAGAGCAACAATCGTACACCCATCCTTCAGTGAACATCAGCCAGCGCTTGCGATGTATCAATTTTGCAGTACAATAAAATGTTTTTTTTGCTTTGCGTTACTAACAATAAGGTTAGTAATGGAAGTCCGCGCAAGCTAAAAGAAGTCCTCTTCAATCTTGCAAAATTACAAATTCTCATTTGATCTTTTCAGAGCAACCTCACTACCTACTTGTTTTGCTAGTATCTGGTCCACAGAGATTTTCGAATTTTTTTGTCCCCTCTTTGCGGGCACGCGCCGAACGCGATTTACTTTGCGGTCGAACTCTTAGCCATGAACTTGCCGCTCATCCCCTCCCCCTCACTCCCCCGTCCCCTACCCGCCTACCTTCCCCTTCTCACTCTCCTCTTCCCGCTCCCCTCACTCCCTACGAAAGATGGCTGAACCGATCACCTGATGATGGCGAGAGAACCACTGGTTTATTAGGTCATTCGGAAAGTTTTTTCGTTTTCGCACTTTTAAATGCAAACGAGCATAACTTTTTCCAGATCCAACCTTTTTCTTCCAAATAAATTTCATTGTGTTCAGCAGAATTCTGTTAACATTATTGTAGTGTTCTTGTGCTTGTTTCTTGCGAAATCATTTTTGGGGAATCAATAAAACCTAGAAGGGCATTTTTGACAAGCTAATTTTTATTGGGTCCTATTATTTTTCAATAAGCACCGAGGAATTGGAGAATTTGGTGGCTGGTGAAGGAAAATGTCCATAGAGTTCGAAAAATGAACAGGAACCTCGGTGCACAGTCAACCTCTTTTGTGAGGGCCACTTTTCTTACATGTAGTTTGACGACGTCATGAGCGAGGATGGCACCTTTCATAAATTATACGAGCAAGTCTGCTCAGATGCCGTATATCAAAAGGTTCGCCTTGAAGAGCTGAGCACAACGCTACTTTCGGATTCAGAATATAATCATCCCGAAGTTATGGCCCTGCTTAGATTGCGTGATTCGCGTGGATTCCGCGTCCATTTTTGTTGAATAATATATGTGCTTTCTGGTAGATTTTTCACTTCATATTTTCTCATCCAAGATTAGTTATCTACACATTTAGTTTCTTGTTGAGTGAAATATACAAGCACATAGAAATATCATGGTACTGAAAATTTATCATTTATTTTCGATTTATTTATCGGTATTCATCAATCTCCTGTACATCGGGCTCATGCTATGTCGGCGGGAAGCTGTTGAGGAGAAGAGTATTTTCAATATAGAGCATTTTCGATATGCGCTCTCTCGCGCCAGTAGCGCGAAGAGCGCATGTCGAAAATGCCTGCTGGCATAAACTTTGCGTAAATCGAACACATAAATACCCATTATTTTTTTCCTTTCAGTTCTCGAGCAAAGTTTTTGTAATTGCATGCTTTAGTGATCACGTCAACAATTGTGAAGTCAGATAGAAGGGTTAGGGTCATTTTTTTTAGCAAGTGTTGGAACGGCCACGTTTTGAATACCAGTAATTTTCTTCAAATGTTTTTGTATGCAGGACAATTCATAGCACTGGGATAAGTTAGAAAGGCAAAAATTTATTAAAAGTTCGTATCTCTGGCTTAATGAGAATAGTACACATCAAATGGTGTAAAATGGAGGGCTGTATTGAACTACGCTAGTTATCAGAAATTCACGTCACAGTCATGTCTGGACCTCACACGGGACGCAGCGTAGATTCAAGGGTCCGACCTGGCAAGTTTGGCCATATCGGGCACGGAAGTTCAGATCTCGACAGAGGCTCTCGTTCACGCTCTGCTAACCAACCTCACAAAAATTATGATTTGGACGCTCTCGCCTGTCCGAGCCATGAACAACGATGAAACCCGCCCGAGCAACGAGCGAGAGATTGATAAATAAATACCATCCCATGTTGAGTTTCGCGTTTTCAATGGATCTGCTGTTGTGCTATGTTTTTTTATGGTAAGACTTTTGTGTCCTGATAACTTCTATATTTGTTGATTGCTTTTTCTTCGTAATTTTAGACACAGTTTGCTGTATTTGTACTTTGTTACTTAATCTCTTCATCTTTTCACATTAGAGTAGAGCTCTCGTAGCTACCTCATCCAAAAATTTACAAGAATGGTTTTTTATTGGCAAAGTAGCCTTTCCAGATAAAACACACATTTTTTGAAGAGCATTGAACTCTAGTTCCGAATCGCGACAAAAAATAACCTCAAATTCAAAGCTTAAATAAAAGGTAGTAAAGAAATAATGCCATATTTTGAAGGAGTCTTAAAGGTCTGAATTTCCTTGGAAATTCGCAGAAGCAGGTAGTGCCCTAAACGCTTTAAAATAGCCTTGAACTGTTAAGGACCTTTTCTTCAAGAAAGTTGCAAGTCTAATCTCGCCGCTGCACGAATTTCATTGTTCAAAAGCATCCCAATCAAGTAATAGTTTAACTGACAATAAGTCTTGGGAAATGTTTATCATATCACTAACAGAGAAGGTCACTTTTTCGGAGTGATTGGAGTGATTTTAGGGGAAATGAAATTTATCATGGATAGATCTCAAAAGATTATTTCAAATAAAGCACTTAATCTTTAGTAATCTCAAAAGCTACACACTTTTATTCATGAGTTAAGAAAATGTTCAAGGTGTTACTGCATTGGCTCTCATTTGTAGAGATTAAACTCTGAGAAAATGTGATGTATAGTGAGCTTTAATAGAACTGCTTAGTCGTTACACTTCTAGTAAATTTAGAGCATATTTTGGCAATCTTATTTTTTATTTGAGAGTTCAAAAGATAAGCTTAAACGTCCCAAGAATAACATCTTTTGTTTAATGAACGTTATGAAAAATTTCTGGGTTACAGCATCTATTTTATGAAATCATTCAAAAAATGGGTTCGGATAAGAGAGAAGTACCTATATTTTTCTCGTTTAGTCAAATCTCATATCAGATTATACACATGTGACAACTTTTATAATCGATTCATAGTTATCATATTACTTCAGACAATTATCAGATATCAGCAATTATTCCATAAGCACGTTCAATTACATTCTTCCGGGAACAAGTACCTCGGCCAAAAATTGCCATTTTTCCACTTTCTCACGCACATAAAGGGTGTCCCAAAACTAAGTATACACTGTTAAATTGTTATATCTCTCTTTCCAGGGAGAGCTTTCCCTAACTTCAGGCACCGTTTTGTAGAACTGGCAAACTTAAGGTTACGGTATGAGCGAATTACCAATCTCTCTTTGTTACTATAGGATAAAGGTAGGGCCTTTCAGCATACACACCGTTATGAAAAAAATCTGAAATCTGTGTCAAAATTTTCGGGAAAAAAACCAGCAAGTGCAAATTGTTGCTGAAGCAATTTCGGTTTTTAAGTCAAAAACTGTGAAGCAATATCTGTACATCTGTATAAAATCACACCGTCATCATCCCAGAAAATTGCATGCTCAACATGAACTATTTCAATGATAGATCAAAAATTCAGTTGTTAGTTCAGACTGAGTTGGTTGTATATATATGCGATATTGCGCGAATTTTTTATTATTGTGCTCATACGCACTCCACTTCCCGCGACATGGTACGTTCTTTTACTACAAAGGCTGTAATAGTTCATTGTGCTCGTGAAGCACAAGATTCAGATGATGATCTATGGTCTGCGCTAATATGTATATTGTCAATCTTTTTTGTTGCACTCTAAAGGCTCGTTACTGCTCACACCCAGTGCCCGATGCAAAAAAGTACACTTTCAATTTGAATGTCACAGTCACCACGACTGGGTCCTCGCTAGCCGCCTCGCTTGAGCCACTCAACGCGTTCGCGAACGCGTCTCAAGCTAGGGTTTGACGGTTTTCCCATGTCAAAGATATTATTTGCAAAATTGAAGAAATAAAGGAGAAGCGGTTTGATGCGACCTATTCATTCCTAAAACACTGCATCATGGCAGCGATGCTTGATTGAAGAACAGGAGAAGGTATATCGAATAAAATTTAAAATCCAAACTGAGGAGCTCATGCAATGCTTATGTTCAAATTTGTCTTTGCATTTCTATTCCTCAAGATTTCAGCTGTTGAAATCCGTTGTTGCACTTTGTGTGCTCTCCTGCCTCTGTGAAGCGAATGGATCGGGCAAAAAATCGAGCAGTATCAACAAAAACACCTTTATCACACACAAAGGGAATCACTCAAACAGATACAACGCACATAAATACAAGCCTAAGCCGAAGCCTTTGAGACCTGTGAGACCTGTGGCGCAAACAATCTATGTAAGCAATCATTCCTTCGGTTACATAGGCACTTTACATTATGTGATTAATTTATTCTCCATAATATTCAGGCTGGTAAAGTCTTCATGCTACCTGGCGAGAAGTTCACAGTGCTGAGCAAATCCGATGTCGTTTTCATGAGTTCTAAAGCCACAGTGTGGAGACGCGAAACAAAAGTGCTACAAAGAGATGGCGACTACTTCTACGGCAACGAGACTTTTGTTGACTGTCTGGCAGTAGTTGTCGACGGTTCTAACTCAAAATGCGATGGTTTCGTGCCACTGGCTTCTAATCAGGTAAGACAAATTTTCAAGGGTTGCCAGGAGAGTATGCTGACCTATCATATGTTAGGTAATCTAATTCCACCGATCTCCCCCCCCCCCCCTTCCCACTTCTCTCTCCTCCACGGAGGCTTTCCTCTAAACTCTTGCCGCTTTTCACCTGCAGCATGTAATTAGCGAAGGCAGCACATACGGGAGCTAGCTCAATCAAGGAATGCATTGGAAAGGTCTAAGAATAAAAACCTTGAAGTCACAAATTTGCTAAAGCACGCTTCAAAGTTTCTCCATTGCAATGATAACTGACTTATTCAAGCTTTTCGTGGTTACTAAGTGACATCTTAACTGATCAGTTTTGTCATACAGTGCTAAGCAAAGTCAGCTGTCTTTTCCTTTTTGTTAAACAAGTTTGTAAGCGTATGTGCCACTTCCAAACCAACACCAAGAACAACATAAATGACGTATGCATGCATAATTTCAATTGAAATTCATGCTCTACTATTACAGGTGAGAGCGCCAAGGCAAGCATCGTTCTACAGATTGGGACTTGCATTGCGAAACGTGAGTCCGAACGACAACGGTGTCTACATCGGAGGAGTTATCGTAAGTTCGCAAATTTTGCGCATTATCGCAAAAAAAATTTCAAAATTGCATTTGAGGCTTGTTTTTTATGACTGTGAGTCTTACATAATGGTTCCTAATCTTACAGAAGTGTGCAATGAGAGTTGTGCTAATCTAACGCCAAAAAGGGATTTAGATGGTTTATTTTGAAGCACATAATTTTGTCCGGGAAATTACCGTTGCTAACTGCAGGAGCCGCGTAAAAACTTGAAAAGCTTTTGTTTCTCTGCATTTTCGAATATAGCCGGACTCACATTTTGACGCAATCCGCACGAAAGTAGTTTATTTCTTCTTACTTTGCAGTTAGATTAACCGAAAAGCCAGAACCTAATGGGCGGCAAAAAATCTAATGCAAGCAAAAACTCACTTCTTCTCTCCTTTGATTAAAAACAGTCGATGTGTGAATGAAAGGGAGTGGCGCAAGCCAGTTTTTTTAAATTTCTGAAAATTCAAATTATTCCAGCCATTGTCCACCAGTAAAGGACTCACTAGTACAACTTTACAATTCATCTCCCTACTTACATATCCCCTCCCTCCCTGTGATTCTAAGCGGCCAAAACGGAATTGAGAAAAAAACGGAAAGGAAACGAAAATTCTATCGGCATTAGGTAGCTAAATTCCCGACATTTTCTTAAGGCAAACAAGCAAGTATTTTCTTGTGAAAGCAAATCATTTGAAAATTTCTCGGTCTGCTTACCTGCCACTTTTGAAGTTGGCAGGCTTAAACGCATACAGCTCAACATCTCCTTTTCAGAACAGAAACAACAGCTTCCAGCGGATTCCTGGCTGCATTTTCAAACTGAATGTGAGATTCAACTGAATGACATTGCACTTGTTTCACGCTTCTTCAATCTTCAATCTTCTTCTTGTTGTAGGGACAATCTAAAAATTTGCACAATACTTTTTCTCTTTACTTTCCTTGCGCGCAAAAAGCTTCCAAACTTTTGTTTTTGCATTACTAGCTGTAAATGATACCGGCACATCATCAATGCGAGACAAGCGGCAGCTTGAGGATAGTTCTGAATGAAATCATATTTACCAAAAAGTCGACTTTTCTCGAAAAGAAAATGAGAATTTGTGGTAAACGGGTAGGATATGTCTCAGATTGTACGTTGAAGAGAAGAAATAATTGCCATTTCGAAGCTTTCGCGAACTGCTGCTATACAATTCACTAACAGGACGCTCAATACAATCCGATAGCGTTTCACCTTCTCTTATCTTCTAGAGCCACAAAAATTCTGTTTCCTTGCATCTAGAAGTTCGTAACTCCTCCTCTCCTCCTATCATATTCAACTGCAGACAATTTGGTTGAGATAGAGCATGTCGTTGCTAAAATATAGTTAGTGTGCTTCGTAACTCCTCCTCTCGTCCTATCAGATTCAGTTGTAAAGAATTTGTACAGGATAGAGCACGTCGATGCTGAAATAAAGCTAGTGTGCTTAAATTTTTCGTTAAAGGCATCAAATCAAAATCGAGAAAACTCAGGAACGACAAAAACTTGTAGCCCTCTTAGGGCTACCATATATTTGCTGTTTGTCATTGCATTGTTGGTGACGCCGATGAGAGCTTCCATCTACCTCTCGCTACAATTCAATTTTTTGAGAAAAAACAAGTGCTAAAGATGTATTTCCTATTTTGGTAAGCATTGCCTTGTCTATTTCTGTGTCAGCACTGTCAGTTGTAATCTGCTCTTTCGATCTGAAATAAATGTTTCCGGGAGAAACGTCTGGACACATGAACAAGAATCAAAGAACAAGAACGTAAATATGCTACATTTGTAACACACATATAAATCACTTCTGTTGAAAAAAACGATCAAGTGCATTACGAGCCACCGCTGTCAATCATGTAATATTAGGTTGATGCAAAAATAGTGAGCGTTTTGTGAAGCACTTTGAGTCCCACTTCTTGGATTGACCCAAGTTTTAATAAGTGATACTGTAACTTAGGTCAGCCCAAGAATGAAAAAGAAGGATAAAAAACATCTTTGATACGTCTATTTTTTGTGTTTTTTTTGGTGTACTAAAAAGCTAAGCTACTAAAAAAATTGCTTGCGGGTTGTTATTAAAGTAACCTGTGAGTGAATGAGCTGCACCGTTTTTTGCAGATTAGTTCAAAGTTGTAGTATGAGGGTTCATAGAATATCAGCTGGAGGCAGAGAATGCACCGTCTTCACCAGGCGGAAGTAGAATCATATGCACTTATGCTAGAACTCATGAATTAACACATTGACGACCGCTTGACATACATGGTGTGTCAAGGCTTGACACACGATGATTTTCATTGAAATGGCTACTAAAATGTGTCCAACCAACTCCGGGAGTTTTCTTTCATGCCGGATTTAGATAGAACCTCTACTGTTTTTGCCAGCATTCCGGCGCTACTGTAGGTGTACTGTAGATGGAAATGTGCGCGATCTTATTTGAAAAATGTTGGCTGGTCCGAGAAAGGCTTCTGTCGTCAATGTGTTAAAGAGCTTGAAAGGAGTACTAACCATGTAAAATATTCCAAGTTCGGCAGCTTCTGAATCTTGGCATGGTGAATATGCTATGTTGTATGTGTATGCTATGTTTCAGCGACAACCAAGGTTTTATTAATCCTTTATTAGCTAACGTTTCGGCGATTTCGCCTTCGCCAGAGCCTGTAAAGTCAAGATTTACGTAATCTCTACTCTCACTTGTCAATAAAAAGCCAGGTTGATATTCGTTTGAGATACGGTAACATCGAAGATCACGTTAGCTAACACCAACCTCGAATGACAGCTCGATAGCCGCAATGAACACGTTTTAACAAGATCATTCCTTCGCTCTTTTTATAGGTGCTGATTCTGTATCAAAACCGCATAGGGAATGATAGCACGATAGCTCTTGCTTGATAGGGTTCTTCTTTAGCGTTCATTTTTGGGTTTTTTGCTGATATCCAGAACGCCACTAAAGTTTTGCGTGGAGTATTAGGCTCAAACGATAAGATCTTGACTCCAATTTGAAACACTACATTATCGTGCCGTGTCATGCGGTGCGAGCCCAAGGGCATGTTCGACTCGGATTTTCGCAGCCCATCTAGATGTTCTTTTATCCGGCAGCAAATAGGGCGCCCTGTTTCACCAATGATTTATCACCACATGATCATGTGATCATTTAGGCTGCGTTCATACTGATCCAGAAGTCCGGGAACAGTTCCAGCACAGCACTCAGTTCGAGCGCTATGCTGGAACTATTCTCGAACTTCCGGATCAGTATGAACGCAGCCATAAACCACACCTGAAATCATGCAATCACGCTCTTTGCTGAAAGGTCAAGCTGCGCAATTCTGGGGTCAAGCACGTTCGATCGTATATGCAATTTCGTGTCAAGCGTCTTTTGAGATTGGTGGACGATATGTCGATGACCCTGGCAGTACTTGCTAGATCAGCTCTTTTCAAGAGGCGACGGACTGCGCTACTGAATTCATCAAAAATGTATGGAGGCAGAACTCTACTTTGTCAACGTTTTTCTGGTTGGGTTAGAAATGGTCAAATCCGCGCGCTTTTTTGATTTTCGCTTGGATAGCCATTCAATTTCCCGATTGTGTCTGCGATAGCGATAGGATAGGAGCGTTTCTCACAATTAGATGATACTCGAGCAGCTGTTTTGTACATTTCACTTATCACGGCTTTTTCCATTCTCTTTGGATGAGCGGATAAGTTATGTATCAGTATGTTCTTGCTACTGGGTTTACAATACCATCTAATTTTGTATTCTCCGTTTGTCAGGTAAATTTTTACATTAAAGTACGGCAACCAGTCTTTCTTCGGCTTTTCTCGCGTGAATTTGATGCTAAAACACTGCTGATCAAGTCGAAACAAATATCTAGTCTGCTTGCTTTGAACATACTACGCAGCAGTCATCTATGTATCTACAATATAGCAGTAGATTCCGTCTCAATACTGGTGCCTCAATTTTGCACATAAATACAATCGCAAGAGTTGGCGCCAAACGTGCCCCATTGCTAAGCCACTAGTTTATTTGGAGCATTGCCCGGGCCATGTAAACACGCTGCGTTGAAGGCAGCATTCAGAAGAGTCGTTAAAGCGGAAATACTTAGTCCGTACAAGTTGAGTGAGGGTTCATGCTTAGTCAATGATTCACAGACAGCTTGTATGGCAACATCGTTTGATACGTTTATGTAGAATGATGTGACATCAGTGATTCCATAACGCAATAGTGCTGAACTTGATTTGCGAAGACATTCAAGGAGCATGTTGGTGTTGACAAGATGAGCAGGGACGTGTTTCAGTAATTGCACCAAGATCACGTTGGGAAGCCACGCGATTCTATCGATCGAACCCCTACCCCTGTGATGATTGGCCGTACCTTCAATTGCATGGATCAATTGGCGTTAGTCCTGCTGAGAACGTTTGTGTATTTTGACTAACAAGGAGAGTATACTTAGTCGAAAGCACCAATCCAGATGAGACATATATCGCCTTAAAGCACTTGAAACGCTGATTCCAAATCTGTAGTATCTAGCTGCGAAACGGTTTTGTATAAGGAGTTGTGAGGGGTGTTTCCCTCTGTTGAAAGCCCCTCCAGCAGGTCTCCCCTTATCTATGAGCACTGTAGAGGAGTCAGCTCTGGCAATTGGCCTAGTGGTAAGTAATTTGAATGTAAGTAATTTGGATGAAGATTATAATAAGGATTATAATTCTCATATTACTTTGGTTTTTTCGCACTTCTAGCTTCGATTAGCATCAATATCATCAGAAATTCCATTCTTTAAGGCTCTTAGAAGCCACTTATAAGCTCATTTCTGCAAAAATCGCGATAAAATTGCATGCGAAGGGGATTAAAACCTTGACACTCTCCTTACCAACCAAGTCACTTACCAGCAGGCAGTTCCCACCAGTTGGTACTTCTCTACAGTGCTGATAGATAAGGGGAGACCTGCTGGAGGGCGCCTCAACCCAGAGGAAAACACCTCTTAAAACTCCTTCTACAAAACTCCGCAACTAGAAACTACAGATTTGGGATTAGCGTTTCAAGCGCTTCAAGGCGATATATGTCTCATCTGAATTGGTGCTTTCGACTAAGTATCCTCTCCTTGTAAGGTGTAGAGCACTGGACAGGTAGGCAGATCAGTTTTGAGACGCTAAGTGATACTTTTAGCTAGTCCAGCAGTCTCCAGCCATATCCTGTTCAAAGGCTGCGGATCGACAAGGCTTAAACACAGGATTTTGAAGCGATTGGTTGCTTATCACCCAAGTATGAAAACAGTGCAATCCCGGTGGCACAGCATGCCTTCCCTGCTGAGAAAATTGCTCTCAAACTTACACGCGCTCGGACGAGATAGCAGTCCCACTCTTACCATTAAAGGCTGCCCGCTGCATTGTTGTAACCATTGGGTCCTGCAACGACTCAGCGTTTTCAGCCCTTCGCATTCGTCCAAGTTTAAAGCGAAGGGCATCGGAAAACGCTCGTTTTCGCCATTTTCAAGCTTTTCTTAAGTGGATTTTCGGGATGAGCGCATTGGATAACCCAAGGTAAGCGAGAATTTGACTAGGTTAAGATTTGCCGAGCCACTGCCCTTGAGTGGCGATATTATTTAGAACTCATCAACAGAAGAAGATACATAAACATCGTTCTCTTCCAGATGACATTTTGTTATCGCTCTATCCATTTCGCGCGAGATGATGACAAAGTCTCTACTCTTGTCACTTACGAAGATCTTGATTTCCTCAACATCGCGTAGATCGTGTAGTTCGCGTAGGCCATTGTGCTGCGCAGGAGTCAGATTGCTACATAGGCGTCTTTTGGAAAACTCGCAAAA